TTGAACTGCGGCCCTCACCTCCACAGGATCCTCCTTAACAATTCCATTGACTGCTATTGAACACAGAGAGTTTCTGATTCTCCTAGAGCTGGCCATAATGTGAAAAAACTTTGTGTTCCTATCCCCTTGTGTTGACCACTTAATTTTGGATTTTTGTATCCATGACCATTCCACCATTTTACTTAGTTTCCAAGCTACGCCTTTAGCCTCTCTTCTTCTAGCTTGCTCTACCATAGATAATGGTCTTTCTTCAGCACTTAAATCAAATGCATGGATCTCCTCTTCTACTTTTTTAAGTTTATGCTCCACATCACCAAAGACTTCTTTAGCCCACTGTTTCAAAGCCAGTTTTAGAATTTTGAGTTTCTGAAGACATTTGAAACCGGCCCATCCCACCACATTAGCTTCTGCCCACGTATTTTCCACAAAAAATCTGAACTTCGGGTGTAAGGTCCAAGCATTTAGAAATCGAAAAGGAGTTGGGCCCCAATCTCTCTCATCCTCCATCAACAGAATAGGACAGTGATCTGAGACCTTCCGGGGCAGCCCCCAAAGCTTGAAATTGAACACTTGTAGCCATTCTGGATTAAGCAAAAACCTGTCAATTCGACTCCACTTCTCCCCCTCCTGCGAATTGCACCAAGTAAATTTTCTTCCCCTCATTGGTAAATCAGCCACTTCAAGATTATCAATTAACTCATTAAACTCCCTCATACCTTTATCTCGCCTTGAACTCCCTTTCCTTTCTGATATACTCCTGATCTCATTGAAATCCCCTCCCAAGCACCAAGGTTTATCATACACCGACTTTAATCGAACCAAGCTATCCCACACCGCCTTTCTCCTCCCCATATCATTTGGCCCATAAATATTTAAAATCACACATTCAAAACTGTTGTAGAGAGTACCTGATAGAATTATGAAGTTCCTGTTGCTGCAGCAATCAGTCAGTTGAAATACTTCTGGGTTCCAGATGCATAGTAGGCCACCAGCAGCTCCAGCTGAATCAACTGCCATGAAGTCCATTTGATCACTGCCCCAGATTGATCGAACAAATTTTTCATCAATTGTGGATCTCTTGGTCTCTTGTAGTAGCACCATATCAACCCTTGTTTCACAGAGCACTTGTTTAATCTTCCTCCTTTTTCCAGGCTTTCCTAACCCTCTCACATTCCAAGAAATGAGCTTCATAAAAAGAAAAATTTTCAGCTCCTAAAACCCCCAGGGCAGCTGCTTAAGAAGCATCCCCACCCCTTTTCCTCATTTTTTCTTTGTCATTGACTTCCAAAGCTATTAGTTTATTGAGGACAACTTCATCATTCCCATCGCAGTTCACTCCAAGAATATGCCCAATTTGGAGCGATGCTTCAGCCTCGGTGAGTAATATTCTCTTACTATTTGCTTCAGATGCCGCTGAGAGTGAGAGGGCTGCCACCGCCAACCGGAACACTGCCCCTTTCTTCAAATTTATAGAGGTTCCCACCATTGGGTTGTCCCTTTGGAGACTACCTTTTTTCTTATAGTGATTGTTAGGGAGCTCATTATTATGCACCCTCTTGATGGCTGCCCTCTTCTGAATTGATTCTGCAGCAGAACCCAGATTCTTGCTTCTGACCTCTCTTTCCTTTCGGGCTACTGGTTCTTCATCGGTATAAGGTTGAATAGAGTCTTGTAAATCACTTAGGGCCTCCACTGATTTAATTGCAAGTGGTCTGTGAGTTTGGGTGTCCACTACATTCATTTCATGGGCTTTAGTCAAGACAACCTCAATGTTGAGCCCAGGCCTTAATAATTCAGATTCACTTAGACTTTTGAAAAGGCCTGGGTTACTAGAATCACCACCCACGGACCTATTCACCCCATTTTGACCGTTGATAGAGCTCTTCACCAGATCTACCTCCCTAATCCCGCATGCGCCCCCTGAAATTGCTTTCCCCATGTTACTGACAGTTTGAGCCACGACAGACAAGCTCTTACAGCTAGCCTCCCCTTCCCTGCCAATACCATCATTATGTCTTGGGTCACTACACCTTACTGCTACGGCTCCATCATCGTCCACCTCATTGCCAACTAGTGCCTCCATGACAGCATCACCATTTTCTTGCTTACTCTCTGCTTCCACCTTCTGGGTAACCTCGTCCCCATAAGAGCTATGGTTGACACTAACACTATGATGATGATGGCATATACAGTGTTTATTCACCATCTTCGCAGTAACCATCTGATCTTCACAAACTTTTATCGGATAGAGTACCCCTTTGCAATCCAAATTGATTGTTTCATTAATGGAGTCCATGCACTTGGTGACTATTCGGACCTTGCCGCAGATCAGGTTGTCCATATTGGATGTTTCATCAGCGAGACTAGTCACTTCCCCCCATAATCTACCTATTGAAAAGAAGGTGTTGTTGTTCCAAACGTTTAGAGGCACCCCATAACAGCTCAACCATACATCTCTTTGTTGTGCAATGGACATCCCCTGTTTCCACTCTGTAACCGATTCAGCCCAATCCTGAACCCAAGTCTCCATTAGCTTGAGTTTTTCGTGCATGTTTTCCACCGATGGGAAGGATAGAACTATGTCTCTACCCCCGCCTTCCCGAACCTCAATATCCTCCATACCTCTAGTCTTCAACTCTGATTTGAATTCTGCTCCACAGTACAGCGGCTTTAGTCGCACAAAGACACTGGAGTATAACCATCCATTCCCTACTTCATACACTTTGACAGTTAAAGTTGCATTAGTGCCTGACCCTTTTCCACTTACTACCTGGGCAAAGGATTCTTTACCTTTTAGCTTCCAAGGCGCCTTTCCCGTACCTCCCATTTCCTTTCTTTGGATTGAACTCTGTATAGGCTTTTTCTGTGCTTCAACACGACGAACAAACTCGGCAACTTTCACTGTTAAGGCTCTGTTATCACACCACAAACCAGTAGCTTTCTGTACTGCCATGTTTGCTGCGACTGGGCAGTTATATCGCACGAATCCAAACCTGGAGTGCGTCGTCATCCTTCTTTTCTGTGGTATGAACACATCCTGCACCACTCCGAAGTGAGTGAACAAAGTAAACAACCCTTTTGGATCCATTGACTCTGGTAAATTATCCACAAAGACCGAAATTTTGCAAGAATACTAATCATGGAAGCATGGACTGCCATTTCCAAAAATGCACAAGATGCAAGAATCCTAACCATCTTGAAAAAGATTGTTGGTTTCGTATAAAGGATGAAGCTGACTTTTCAGAAAAGCGTGAATCTTCAAACCAACAGTTCTATCCTTACATGAACACTCAACAAGAAGCACAAGACACAAGGTATATTGACAGCAGATGCAGCAACCATGTGACGGGAAACAATAGCAGCTTTGTTAGCTTGGATGAAGGAGTAAAATCCAAAGTAAAGTTTGGAGATGTGAAGGTTCAGAACATTGAAGGAAAGGGCACCATTGCTGTGCAAACAAAGGGAGGTAACACCAAGCTAATCCATGACGTTTTTTATGTTCGTAGTTTAACTCAAAATCTATTAAGGGTGGGCCAATTGATACAAAAAAAGGATATGTGGTGAAATTTGATGAAGGTGAATGCACTATACTTGAAGAAGAATAATAAGAAAATTGCTCGAACAAATTTGGCCACCAATGAAGTGGTTACTCTCACAATGCTAGTAACGGCAAACTATGCAGGCTGAAGACATGGATGAATACATGACATGGCATTTGAGACATAGTCTTTTGTCGACTTGTAATCTTGATGTTTAATCGTTGTGTTTGATTTTTGATGAATAATATTTGTTGTTTGATGAATAATCCTAATGTTTAATGGTTGATGTTTGATGAATAATCCTGACGTTGATAATGTTTGATGTTGGATGAATAATTCTAACGTTGCTAATGTTTTCACCGACATTATACGGATAATCCTGACGTTCCTAATGTTTGATGTTTGATAAATAATTCTGACGTTGCTAATGTTTGATATTTGATGAATAATGTTTGACATAAAAAGGCCTATAGTGAGTTTTTAGAGAAATAGGACCTATTAGTCCATCAAAAAACCTTCGAGACTAAATGGGTTAATATTTCAAAATTTAAGATTTATTGGTGCTTTCCCGTTTATATTATCACCAAAGAGTAATTTTTCCGTTCTCTTTTATAACAAAATTATTACATAAATGACATCACATATTCTGTAGCCATATCTAATAATTTTTGGACCAATTAAATTTAATGACGGTAAGTTTCACAAAATTCAAATGAGATAAGGTAAAAGAATGATGGAGATAAGGCCATGCATGCATTGGCCGGTTAATAGATTTTTATGTATGAAATTTCAACGCTGATGTAGGCCATTACGTCACTACCACCCTTAAATCCATTTCAACCACCACCACCACTACCAACACTAACACCAACAGCAACAGCAACAGCTACAATGGCTTCCCAAAATAACCACCTTCACTTTGTTTTAGTACCTCTAATGGCCCCAGGCCACTTCATACCCATGATTGACATGGCCAAATTATTGGCACAACACGGTGTGACTGTCACCGTCGTCACCACCCCTCTCCTTGCTTCCAGATTCAACCCAATCATCAACCGTGCAATTGAATCCGGACTCCCCCTCCGCCTTCTCTCTCTCCGGTTCCCGTCCGTAGAGGCTGGCCTGCCGGAGAGGTGCGAAACGGTAGAAACCGTGCCCTCTCTAGACCTACTAAGAAATTTCAACGTTGCCATCTGCTTGTTGCAAGAACCATTCGAGCAGTTGTTTGAAACGCTCGAGCCGTCTCCAAGTTGCATAATAGCTGACAAAAGCATTCCATGGGTAGCCGACACTGCTCGCAAGTTCCAAATTCCGAGAATTATTTTTGATGGAATGAACTGCTTCACTCTTTTATGCACACACAATTTACGTATCACAAAAGTTCATGAGAGTGTGTCCGAGTCAGAACCGTTCGAGCTCCCGGGCTTGCCTGACAAAATTCAGCTAACAAAATCTCAGTTGCCCCAATCAATCAATCCAGGTCCATTAGTGGTCGTGCAAGACTTCCGGGAGAAAATACAAGCCGCGGAAGCCGAAGCATCTGGGGTGGTGATTAACAGTTTCGAAGAGCTGGAACCGAGATACATGGACGGGTATCGAAAGGTGAAAGGAGATAAAGTTTGGTGCATTGGACCACTATCGTTATGCAATAAAGACAACTTGGACAAGGCTCAAAGGGGAAACAAGGCTGCCATTGACGAAAACCAGTGTTTGAAGTGGCTCGATGAACAAGAGCCAGGATCGGTGGTCTACGCATGCCTTGGAAGCATCGGTCGCCTCTCACCTCTTCAGTTAATCGAGATCGGTTTAGGCTTGGAAGCGTCGAAACGCCCGTTTGTGTGGGTCATAAGAGGCGGAGCCAAAGCAGCAGAGAAGTGGGTGGAAGAAGATGGATTCGAGGAAAGAGTAAAAGGGAAAGGCCTTGTGATCCGAGGGTGGGCACCGCAAGTACTCATATTGTCGCACCCAGCGGTGGGGGCATTTTTGACACACTGTGGGTGGAATTCGACATTGGAAGGGGTTTGTGCGGGTGTGCCGATGATAACTTGGCCCATGTTCGCAGACCAATTTTTTAATGAGAAGCTGATTGTGCAGGTTTTGGAGGCCGGAGTGAGTGTTGGGGCTCAAGCAATTGGGCACATGTTTGCGGAAGACAAGTGTACGGTGTTGGTGAAGAGAGAGGTAGTTAGGGAAGCCGTGGAGGAAATAATGGGTGAAGGAATAGAAGGGGAAGAGAGAAGGAGAAGAGCGAGAGTGCTTGGGGAGATGGCAAAAAAGGCAATGGAAGATGGGGGTTCTTCCTACTTGAATGTGAGATTGTTGATTCAAGATGTCATCAAACACGTTAACTACAAGGAATCAATTGAAGAAGACGGTGAATGTGTGTAACGACTCAATCTTGACAAGGCAAAACCCCGCCAAGAGGGTGCACTTCAAACGCTATAACATCTGTATAGAACAATCACCTTTATAATTCTTATATCATATCACCACATCATCAATAGTGCATAAGACCTTTCAATTGGCTAACATATATGAGATGATTCATTCAAAGACAAAAATATCATCATGCTACAAGATAGTTCCCAAGCATCACTTCCTAAAAATAAAACATACTATTCACGAATCTATCAATACATCCAACTTCATAAAGCAAATATTTACAATCAACCTCCTTCATGAAAAAAAAAAAAAAAAAGAAGAGAGAGGATAAAACTACATCCTAGAATGACCCTAAGCAAAACCTCAACTACAAGATGCCCACATTTGATCCTTTAAAAATTCTAATCTTCCAAGTTGAGGCAAGCCACACAAAAGCCTAGGAATCTGAAAAAAAATTATCTAAAAAGAATGAGCTAAAGTCCAATGAGTATACCAATACCATGGAATTATAATGCTTGCTCCTTCCAATTGGGTTCAAAATAAAGATAATAAACATAAGAGCTTAATTGGATTGGATTTTATACAAAATAAAAAAATAAAAATAAAAATAAAATTGCATAAACCGTTATCAAGATTTTTTCAAGGAATCTCATAAGGCAGAAAAAAAAAAAAAAACATTTGAATAATGAAAGTAAACAAAAATACAATTTTTCAATACTTTAAAATTTCATGTCCATCATACGAGCCACTATATAGCCTTATGGTTACGTTACCTCGCGACTTAGGTGGTGACAGTACCGTTACCCAAAACATAACCATAGGAACGTTACTTATGTCACTGTAGCACTTCAATTCTCATTTCAATGTTTCGGTCCCCAGGACCCCTTATGTACAACGACCCTATGGTCCTTAAAACATTTCGGTCCCCAGGACCCCAAAGCAATTTGGCCCTTGTGGCCCTAAAGGTTATATTCGGTTATATGATCAATACAATAAATACCCTCTCATAACATTTCATTGTCATTCAATCATCATCATCATCATAAAATTTGAAGGACTCAACCTAAATAAATTCTCATAAAAATTTAATGCTTCATTTTACAAATGAAATCATATTTTTATTTAAACTCAACCCTTGGCCTCAATAGATTTATAGATTTTCTTTTTATGCATATATCATGATTCATGATGAAATGTATCATTCACTTCCTTTAATTCAAAAATATTTTCAAACTTTATAATAAAGATAGAGGTAAGGTAATTTCCATGGTAAGTATACTCACCTCTAAAATAGCAAAAGCGTAGATTTGAAACTCTATGAATTAATTCCCAAGAGGTATAGAGATGCCTTCCTCCAATCCTAACAATTAGTAAATAGGATCTAAAATTAGGAAAAAGTTTTCAATGAAAATTACATCTACAAAATTAATCCTAAATAAGACATGCCATGGAATGACAAGCTAAAGAACTCCTCCAATTTCAAGTCACCCAAACAAACTACTTATCCAATCTTCACAACACCCATCCTTTGTACATTTTTGAGTTATTAACTTTTTAAATATCCAACCAATTTTTATGCACAATACCACCATCAATTAACTACAAAAGTCAAAAATCAACATTTTCATAAACTCAACAATTTAGGTAAAACCACTTCAATCATTTATAAAATTCCTCCATAGAACATAGAGATATCCAATCTACCATTTATCAAATCAATTTCAACATATAAATTTTCTAACACCAAAATCCCCAATTTTTACATCACATTCAAACCCTAGATTAACCCAAATCTCAATCTCCAAAACAACCATCGAATTGATCATTTTTCTATATGTAAAACATTCATAGAAACTAATTGAGAGTATAAAACTCAAAAATCAAACCCCAAATCAAAATAGGTCTAAAATAAAAAAAAAATTATCATCTCTAACTCAAAATATGTAAAACCTTGAACTAAACTTTTTAGGGAAAAATTCTTACCAATTAAAAGTCTCTAATCCATTAAGAAAATAAGCCCCAAGCTTTGATTTTTCAAAAGATTAAGAAAAATCTAGAGTTGGTACTTCTATTGTGCTATTTTCGGACGGAGTGAAGGAGTGGTCGACCGGACCCTTTTTCCGGCGAGATAGGATGGTCGGCAGTGGTGGAGATGGTAGGTTAAGGTGGTGGTGTAAGGGTGGAGTAAAGGTGTGGTGTTTGGCCACCAAGAAGATAAAGGAAAATGAGAGAGAATGTAGAGAGAAGTTAGAGAGAAAAGAATGACGACAATGAACTAAAAAAAAAATCTGCATTTTGTTTTTAGTTGGAAAGGGGTGTTTGGTCACACCTACTATCAAGTTTGGAGTTGGGTTTTGATATCCTAAGTGGAGTTTAACTTAGGAGTGTGTTTAGCTCAAGCTGAATGTTGGGAATATTAAAGCGTCTTAAAAGTTGATGAGCGAAAGCGATGTTATGGTGTTTAGATTTTAGACTTTTTTGTTGTTGTTGTTGTTGTTGTTGTTGTTGTTGTTATTGTTATTGATATTCTTTAATATTTATCTTGTTGAATTATGAATTGGAAGTTTGAATAGTAATTTAATGAGAAAGTATTCGGGCCACATGCAACTGTGGAGCTTGTTCATATGCATTGATTGGGTCTGCTGCATTTTGCAGAGAGAAGATTGAAGATTGAGAGGTGATTATTAGTTTCAGAGTACATACGCGTGAGAGAAAATGGATTTGAAGTGGCAATGACAAAAGGGATAAATTATAGTTTGCTCTAGGTAAATTCAAATGGTCATCCAACGTCTATTTTATTGGCTAAAATATTGAGTCCTACGATTTTTTGTCTCCTATAAAGAGACAATCTGATACGTGTCATGATTTATGTAATGTGAACACTGCTTATATTTGTAGAGAGAAGTGGGATCGAAGGGAGAGAATTGAATAAAAAAACAAGAGAGATGATAAAATTGAATAATAATAATAATAATAAAAAGAAAAACTCTTCTGCATGGATAAATTTGAAAAGTACCTATTTTTTATCTAAATATTTTTTAATCATAAAATATCTAATATTATCATAAAAATATGTAACAAGCTACATATTGTACACACCTTATAGACACTACAAGAAATTACATTTTTCGCAACGCAACAAAATATATTACTAAAAAGAAAAACTCGTTATCAAAAAGTTTCACCGACACATAGAGCTACGTTGGCAACTCGTAGATAAAAGTGAGTCGGCGGAAGTTTTTGCCAACGCAATTATCATTGCTTTGGTAAAAGTAATGCCTTTAGCAACGAACATAGTTGTCGATAAAAGCCTTCATCCATCGTCAATAATTTACTCTGCGTCGGTAAAAGTAGTTCAAATATGATGATTGTGTGGCACTTTTCCCGACACAAATTTGCATGGGCAAAAAAATATACTTTTAGCAATAAAATATGAGTCGGCAGCGAGGACAACCTACGTTGCTACATGGTACACCTCCACCATGCGGATTCTATTTGAGGGCCCCTTCGACAGGGCATATTACTTGGGAGAGAGGTTCATCCATTAGACATGAGGCGTAGCTGATCCCGACATTCCACATCCTCCTCCTTTAGGCATGAGGGTAGTTGATGAGCTCCACGACGGACCCCAGATCGACTTTCTGATGTTAGGGGAAGACAGTGATCGGTACCATGAGCCCGACAATTTCACTACTTTCTTGCAGACTCGGGTGATGGCGTCTCTTACCTAGGGCGTGGCCCGTGCCATTCCAAAGGTTACTGCTGTCATTGCTAGAGGCACTCCTGCCATCACTCCCGCTACCGGGCTTCCTGCGATTTCGATTGAGGTTGTATACTTGCAAACAAATGGGGTGATCGAGAAGATCCCCCTTGAGCATATTGAGGAGAGGGATCACAAATTAGTGATCGCTCTTGGCGTCGAGCAGGTACACATCTCTATATGTCGACCCACTGTACTTTCTGTTGTGCTTCATTATTTTTTGCCCATTATGCTTTATTACTTGTTGTCCACTGTGCTTAATTTCTACCCACTCTATACTATTATCTTGTTTCATATTCTCAAATCTTTTGTAGGTACCTGCGGGATATGTGGATGACCTCCTCCAGACAGTTGATAGACTGCTCCTGATGGTGCAGAGGAGGCAGACTGCTCTAGCTACCCATGGGATCGAGGTACCTGTTGCCCCTAGTTTACGATCATTACAATATTGCCCATAATTATGTTGGTCTCTTTTGATATCTGTACTCTTTTTTAGATTGAGCCAGTATCAACTGCACCTATGGACCTTCTCTAGCTAGGAAACGGAGGTGGAGCCTAATGAGAGGCAGAGTAGGGGCTGACCAAGGAAGAGGCCGAGTGAGGCAGTGCCCACCCTCCGAGGAGACTTTGATGAGTACACGAACCCTGAAGAGGAGGGGAGGAGGTTGACTGCAGTCTAGCAGCCCCAATGATGACAGTGATGCACCTCCTCTACAACCGAGGAGGAAGAGCGCGATGATGGGTTTATGATTTTCTTTGCTTTTCTTTTACTTTGTAATTTAGGAACTATGTAGCTTCAGATAGACCTATGTATTTTTTTTTTTGGAAGACATTTCTTTTGTTTTTTGTCTATGTAAAAATAATGATTGGGGTTAGACCCGCTAGTGTATGAAAAGAAGAGTTTTGGATGATTCCCTTTTGCATAAAATGTGATGGATGCTAGTCGTTGCATAACAATCTTGTGCAAAATTTTAAAACTGTGGATGCTTGTTCTTGAATTCATTCTTGAATCGGATAACAACCCACAACCGGACAAAATGTAAAATACAACTCAATAACAGGAAAACAAAATGAAAACAACTCGAAAATACTAAAAAACACTTGGTACAAACAAAACAAGACTCAAAATACAGCCGTAGTACACCAAGACAAAAGCCAATGCTTTCTACAATTGCTCTGATTTGGGCCATCATTTAGACTCGGTTGGGTCCAAATAGGTACGGTCGGGCTTCAATGAGGCACGGCCGGGCCCAAAAATAAGGCCAGTTAGTGCTGTCCAGTTGGCATGCACTATATCTTCTCAAACTCTATAAATGGTGCTCCCATGTTGTTTTTCTCACAGAATAGCAAGTCTTTGGTATTTTGCTCTCAAGATGGAGATGTTGCTCAACAATAGGCTTTGAGACTAGATAACCACTTTGGGCTGCCCAGAAAAGTTGAACTTTTGTGGTTTCGGCCTAAACGCTCTTTTTTCTTTGACCGTACTTCGCTTTATTTTTCGTTCCTCCACGTCGCTGCTCGATGCTAGAACCCGATCACATATGTATTTCGCTTCAGAT